GTGAAACCAATTAAAATATTCTAATAGATACCTAACAGGTATATGTAAATGTATTCATGGATGTTATTTTTTCATGTTGTTGTATCCAGTCAACAAATAGTTATACCTGGTGGTCATGAATGAACCCTGTGTGAAGAACTTTACTACTGCTCTATATATAACGGTGCCATGTGACCATTTTCAATGCGGTATATCTTTTCCACTAATTTTAACAAGATAGATACGAATATACTCTTGGTTGGATAATAATCTGTCACGTGGCTCCCAATCGTTGTTGTAGAATAGACCATATATAGAGCCGCAATTCTAACATCACATCGAAAAGAAACATTTTTAGAAGTGAGAAAAGTGAATATCTCAATGATTGCATTTGAAAGTAAATTGAAACAAGTCACTTATGAGATCGATAGAGGAGGACAATCTTGAGCACAAGTTTTCCGTAGAAACTTGATATATCAATCAACGCTTCTAACGGATTCGAAATCATGAGTGAATATCTTGTGGATATCCATCCAGAGTGCAAAAACAAAACTGAAAATACGAATGTTTTCAAAAACACACAACTTGTGTTAGATATAAATAGATATTTTCTGAAGGATATCGATTACAGATTCTCGATATAGACCTCTACCTCATTGTTCTAAAATTGTTCTTATCCGTCATTCGGTTGTCCTCTTACGAGCAACCCTCACAAGTCTTCAAGGGGCTTGTGCGAGCAAGGAATGAAGGGGGACTTTATGCCTTCTAACGTGTGATCCCAAGCACTTTCTTAGGCCATCAGAAAAATATCTGCGGTCGTGGTGGGAATCGAACCCACCTACAGGCAATTCAACGTGGATAGATTACTGACGCTTCAACCACGAGGCTACGCTGGCCATGGTCACCTCATGGATTTCTATTTAAAGTCCAGGGATATCCTGACCAGAATTGGACATGAAACGGAGGGATATCCATAGGCGATCCTGTGTTATGTGAATTAGACAGTTTCTGGAAAATTATTAGGTTATCCTCAATATTACAAGTCAAATAAACAAAAATATGTTGCACCGGCTATGAAAAAACATATCGGACAAAAGAGTTATCGATAGCTAGGAACAAAATTGTATAATAACTTACCAGAAAGTGTCAAAAGTCAACATAATTTGTCAAAGTTCAAAATGAGCCTCACCGTCGGAAGTAGACCCAGAAGAGAAATTCATGAGTTGATTGAGGTTTAAAATAACTATCTACATGATCAGTTATATACATATACTTACTGCACATCTACGGTTGACTTGCCACGATTATATACATATACTTACTGCACATCTACGATTGACTTGCCACGATTATAAATAAGTTATAGTAAAATGCTGCTGTCTTGGATCCTATCTGAAATTGCGCTTTCGCCTTATTTCTTACTTCTATTTTAATTCATTCTCTTTTATTTTCAACTTTTATGTATAAATTCTAGATTATAGGTGATTATATTATTTTGTATTTGTATAATGTATAATTTTATATTGTGTTATACCACGTACAAGTCATTGATGTTGTCGTCAATGACTTCTGTGAGTTATTTAAATGTTTATTGAATAGAAACAATCATTGTTAACTTCCATGTAATCAGTTATTTCTGCCAATAAACATTCATTCATTCATTCAATTTCGCAATGGGGGAGACTACTGATTTTTTAAAGCGACATACACGTGGGCTCTATACCAAAGCACTACCATTGAATAAAATTTTCAATTTTTGCATTCACACCAGGATGATACAAAAATGAATGTCAATTCATTGGTGTAACTGGTCTGACGTATTAGTCCCAACACGCCTATTGTCCTTGAGCTGACCAATCACACTGCAAAACTGGAGAATGGCAAGGTATCAGAGAGAGATAGCTATAGTTCGGGACTAATACGTCACGGCTCCAGCTTCATATCAGGCTTTTTGAAATATCGAATGGAATATACTCACTTTAACTTATAATATTGATTGAAGATTTGTATGTACATTAAATCTAGATAATCTAAATCATGATTTATCCTTCAGTGCTCTTTCCCATTACCAGCTGATCATTCTGTCATTTTGCTTTGAAATATTTTTTTTCTGTGACGGGGACATTTCATCTCTGTGACTTTTCATAAATCACTTTTTTCCCACGGGAAAATAATGAGTACTTTACTCCGGGATATACAGGGTGTATCTAAACGTATCTAAATAACACCGAAAAAATTCAAGGGGTGATTCTTTATGAATATTTTCATAAAAAATCGTTTTTTTTTATTCATCAATCAGTTGTCTTTTCATCAATTTCAATAAAACGTTGTGGTTTTGTTAATAGTAATATGAGGCTTCTTCTGGTTCAATTAGATTCGATATAATATTTCCAGTGGCGTCACAGTGATTAAATTTATAGATATTTATGGTGAATGTCATTGTACGCCACCGGTTTTTCTAAAATTCATATTTTTATTAGATTGAACTATTGAAATAACAACTTTTTTATCCTTTGTGTAATTTTTCTATCTAGCTCAATTTTTGAGGAAACAATAAAAATTCGATTTGACTCCAAATTTTAATGTAGGCGTGTTTTCAAGACTTCCATTGAGATTACTCAATAACTCCAATTAGAATCATTTTGAAATTTTGGGACTTTCTCAGTCTCCAGCCATACTGATTTTCGGCACCATGAAAGCTTAAACAGGGGGGTTATAAATAAAAACAATTGATACTTCCACATTCAACTTCCTGTATCACCACTAAGTTCGAAATTTTTGAAAATCAAATCACAGTATTAGACTGACAGATATTTGATTACTTCAAGAGATAAAGACGCCCGCAAAAAGATGCCTGCAAACGCATATCCTGTTAAAAACTTGAAGTCGATAAATCACCTATTCTAATATAATGTAATATCTTCTCAATACTGACTCATCCTTCATTCTGTCACTGAAAAAAAGTACACGGGAAAAATATCATATTTTAGCTCACGGTTTTTGACAACACAACTGCGAGCTGAAATCTACTGCTTTTTTCCTTTGCATAATAAATAACTATTTTAGTAGCTACGGCACACTTCAATTCCTAGGGAGATTATAAGGTCACTTGAGTCCCTGATTGGAGCAACTGAACAAGATACTTTACTGCCGAATGTGAAACAAGATATTCTTGGTTTTCATGAAAAGAAGACTAAATCGTTCATCATGAATTCCTTTAGCTAGACACTTTCATTTTTATGCAGATGCCATCACACATGCTCGTCCATAGAAGCAATTGTTGCATAACATTATCTCCTTATAATCCATAGATCAATTACCCTAGACTAGATCATTACTTAATCACTACATACCATGATCGAACCGGAAAAGAAATAAAATTGTATCTTTGAGTATATGGTGCGGCTAGTTAACCTCTTTTTATTGATCATTGAATTTCAGACGGTTGGTTCAAGGTCAAGGTGAGAAGATTATTTAAGTTTGTGTAGTAAGACGAGTGAGTGGTAATGAATTGAAAATAATTCGACAGATCTTCGAAAATCTGTTGTCGGAAAATAATCACAAGAACATCACAAAAATGGATATCGACACTGTTGCCTAAAGTAGATTGTATCCTTGGTGACATGAAATTTAACACTATGCTGTTATTCGGGGTTTTCATAATCGTGAATAATATTTGAATAACTAATTCGAAGCATTCCCTTAAGTGAACTAAGTCATGGAAATCGACACGAGTGATTGACCAATCTGGCCGACTGTTGACAAAATTATTATATATATAATATTTGGAAAGTAATTTACCGGGTGTATACATTTTCATAGCATGCCTACAAATGCAAATTAAAATAAAAATTACCTAGGAAGTTTACTTTGTTGTATCATTATTTACACAAAGTGTTAACAGTGATTTAAGAAACAAAAAAGTAATTAACATTAATTAGCAAATAAAAAATCGTAGTTGTGAGTAATGAGTTATATTGGCCTAATTTGTGGCTGCTTATACATTAGTGGTATTTTTTTTTATTGAAGCGATAGGAACATTCCATGAGCATATTTATTCATTATTGATTTTTTTAAATCTAATAATCGAGCCTTGATGAGTCAAATCGACAGTATACTGAGAGCAAGTTTCAGAAGTGAACCAACTTTATTATCCAACATGACTGGAATTGATGTTTCAATCATTCATAAAATTATGTATATTAACTACCTAAATTTAGAATGAAAAAAAATGTTTTTATGTTGGATTCAGCAAATTTCAAGTTGTCTAAGTGTCAACATTGAAAATAAATGAAAACTATCACATACTATAGTACAGGGTGTTAGAAATTCGTGGCTAAGCATGGGGATCTCGGTAACCTAGACAGATACAGAGAAGGTTAAATTAGGTCAAAGTTGCACCATTTCATGTTCAATAAAATGATGCTCACACATTGGAAAAATTTCAATTATTTCCGGAGATATTTGTAAAAAAAACTTATACAGTAGGCCCTGGTACAATCCTTTTTCCTTTTCAGTATTGACACTTTGGCTGGATATGGATTTTCAAGTCCGAAATATGCCCCTGAACTTTCGAGATCAACATTGAATTGGTAGAAGTGACTGAACTTGATATTATTTGGAGTGAAAGTACTTCTCGTAATTTCGTCATTCGTTCATAATTGCCAGACTTGAAACCACGCAAAATGTAACACTGTACAGGGTGGCTAGAATCCGAGCCTCATCATTGGGATCTCGTAATCTGCAAGAGATACAGGGTCGATCAAATTATGGCCAAGTTACGCAATTGATATTTTTTCTAGATACCTTTATTTCTCTTCTACAAACCTTTTCCAATAGCAAATTGTCACTGACAAGCTAGCGGATTTTTCTTTTAGGCTCTCTGATAGGAAAGAGTGAAAGAATTCAAAAAAGTCCGAATTATATCAAAAAGTCGAACTTTTTCGATTTTTTCAGCTAATTGCTTCGTATCTTCCTGGATATTTTCCAGAGATTATCGATTGCATTATCATTATCTTCAGGCTTGCAAGTGCGTCGAAGAAAAGGCAGAATACGTATGGCAGCTGAAGGAACTCAACAGATCCTCGAAGTTTGTCAAAAACTAGTTGGCGACAAAGTCGACCTCAGTTCATGGCAGAAGAAGATCAAAGAAGAAATGTCCGATGAGGTCGCCGATTCTGAGGATGACGGGCCGGAAATAGGCGAAACGTTACACGTCAAGAGCGTCGATACGCAGTTCTATCAATACCAAAAGTTCAATAAGGGCGTGTTGACCGTTGGTTGTGTAGGTAAGGTTGCCAACTAGACAGATAGATAGATAGATAGATAGATAGATAGATAGATAGATAGATACTTTATTCGTTTTCCATTTAAAATATTCACATCTGGAATATAATTGAACAAACACGTCAAAAAACACTTAATATCAAACAAAACATATAAATAAATAGATGAATTTGTTCTAAAAAAAATAAAAAAAAATTTTTTTAAAAATTTGTTCTAAAATAAATGGTTAATAGACATATATAGCAGTACAAAATAAAGTGTTATAATTCAAACAAAGAATTCGTTTAATGAATAACAGCATTTTTCATTTAAAACGTTCATCAATCTTTTTTTGAAAATGATCACATTGGGTGCGGATTTGATTTCATCATTCAATTTATTATACAATTTGCACCCGATGAAATAAAAACTCCTTTGATAAAGTGTAGTGGAGTGAGAGTTGGGTTGTAAAAAGTTGCAGTAGCGAGTGTTATGATCATGCTTAGGTAGGCAAGTTGCAGTGCAGTTCATTTTATAGAAATATATACATACTTCTAATATATATATGCTGTACAATGTAAGGATTTTGTGTTTCTTGAAGAGTTCTCTACAGCTAGTCCTCGTGTCAGTATTTTCAATAATACGTAACACATATTTTTGTAAAATAAACACTCTGTTTGCTGTGGCACTATTTCCCCACGTAAGTATTCCATATCTTAAATTGGAGTGAAAGTTAGCATAATATTGAGTTTTCAAAATTTCCTTACTACAGTGATTTTTCATATATTTGATGCTGTAGCACGCACTACGTAGTTTTTTGCATAGTTGGTCAATATGCTCATTCCATAACAGCTGCCTATCGAATGTGATTCCTAACAATTTCACATTTATAGAGCAGGACAATTCTTTTTCTGTGTTTTTGAAGATAATAGGTGGATCTTGCCTTCTACGTCCGAAATATACCAACACTGTTTTTTTGTGGTTTAATAGCAAGTTGTTATTTCTGTTATTAGAAAAGTAGAAGTATAGTTTATCCAAAAACAATTGCAGAATCTTGAGTCGCACCTGCAATCACTTCAAAGGAACCTCAAATATGCCGACGCCGCACAGTGCGAGGTATTCTGCAATTCATATTGGATATACTTTACTATCTTATTCCCTGAAGTGCATGAAAATTATTGTTTTAACCTAAAGTAGATCAATTAATGATTAGTTCCTCAATACCAATTTCGTTTCCTTGTTTATTGATTACGTATACAGGGTGTATCTAAATAACACCGAGAAAATTCAAAGGTTCATTTCTTGTGATATTTAATAAAGTTCATATAACATGTCCTAATTTGCTTCATATTCGATATACAGGGTATTAAAATTTCCATGAAAAATCTTTTTTTATTCATTACTGAATTTTGGCACTATGAAAGCTTATACAAGGGAGTTACAAATAATAACAGTTAATAGTTCCAACTTCAACATCCCGTATCTCAAAAACGCAGTTAGGGTTAGGACACATATTCAAACTAGTTATTCATTATACAAGGACAAAAAGTATTGGATTTTGGCTCCAGTTTGTGTTGTATCTCGACGCGTTGCCAAGGGATTCAAAAAAGCGAGAGCAACAATCTGATATTTTCCCGTCTATAATACACTTTATTTTTCTGTGACAAGAAAAACGACGATTCAAAATTGAGAAGATATAACATTATGATAAAATCAGAAAATTATCGATGTGAAATCTGAAATTTTTCACCGTGTTTGCAGACATCTTTTTGTAAGCATCTTCATTGTTGCTATGGAAACCTTTTGAAGTAATCGATTTAAAAAAAAAACGAATTTTAGTAATTCACTTAACCACCAGTTGAAATAGAAGATGAAAATGTCTTTCAGTTCTTTCTTGGAGACGGTGTTATTATTTTTCGGAACTAACACAACAAGAGCCATCAACAGTGCAACTATATATCCGGGAAAAAAGTAATTTATGAAAAGTGACATGTTGTAACCTGTCAACAAAGATCATCTTTCTTTCCGTCGCAGAAAAAAAACCAATAACACCGTCTCCGAGAAAGAACTGCAAGTCATTGTATCTTCCATTGCATTTCACGGTTACGTGCATTACTAAACCAACACTAAGTTCGCAATTTTTTAAATCAAATCACAGAATTAGAATGGCAGATATATGATTACCTCAAATAATGATAAAGATGCCTGCAAGGCAGGTGTAATTCCTGTTAAAAACTTCATATTTTACGTCTTCAACTTTCTGATTTTAGTATAATATCTTCTCAATATTGATTCGTCCTTTTTCCTGTCACAAAAAAATATTAGATTTTAGCTTACGGTTTTTTGTCTCCCTCGGAAGAGAACACAAGCTAAAATCTACTACTTTTTTCCCTTGTAAGTAATGTATAACTATTCTTTTCCATGGCTTCTTTATATGTATAGGACAGCCGAACGTTGGAAAATCTTCGCTGATGAACGCCATGATGGGCAAAAAGGTAGTCAGCGTGTCGAGGACTCCGGGACACACCAAACATTTCCAGACCATCTTTCTCACGCCTAACGTGAAACTGTGCGACTGTCCTGGCTTGATTTTCCCTTCCAAGGTCCAGAAACCGTTGCAAGTGCTGATGGGCAGTTTTCCCATTGCTCAGTTGAGTCAGCCGTTCATCGCCGTCAAATATCTAGGTGAGTTGAAGTTGATGTGAACCATAAAAAATATGTTGAACACGACATGTTGCAGTGACAGTGCAGGGAAACACATTTTAATATGTTTGTACCGTATTTAACCATAATGTGGATATTTTTAAACTGGACCAGAGATATTTTTATGGACAAATTTCCTTGTTAACCTGACGAGTATGCACTGATGATGACTTAACAGTCGAAAGCGCTCTGCTAGGAGTAATAAATTTGAATGAATTATCTTGCACGAAATACAACACTTCCATTCATTGGTATATATACACGTGCACACAGCTAAGTAATCGCCTCACTCATTAGGTTGCTTGTCGTAAATTCGATCTTTGACGTCACAGTGTCGCCATATTGATTTTAGGAAAAATGTTTCCTGCGTCGCTAGTTTCAAAACAAATGTCCACTTGTGATATGTCATTACCAGGGAAATTATATCAATATGGCGTGTTATATAAATTCAAAAATCCAGACCTAGGTCTATTTCCGGTAAAACCGAAAAAGAAATTGAATTGTTTTTCATGGAACTATATCCAAATGTCAAAAGTCTAATATAAAAAACAACTGAACGACGACCTGACCAATGATTTCCTGAGATTTAGGTTTATAATGGGTGGAAAAAACAACTGAACCACGACCTGGCCAATGATTTCGTTGGATTTAGATTCATAATGGGTGGCTATGTCTTTATGAACTCATTTGTTTTCATCTCTTAGAACGCACGAATGAAAATTCCCATGATATTCGAAGAACATCGTACATACCTAGAGAGGATAGAGAGAGGAGGTAGTTGTTGAATTTTTGAAGGTTATACGCTCTTGAGAATACTTCCATTGGCAAAGAATTCCAAAGATTTGCCGTTCTATAGACGAACGAGATTTGGTAGAGTGTGCCGTGGATGTATCTATAGAAAAGGGGAAGCTCGCCAACTTTTTTACGGTGTTCTAATGAGGTCAAAGCACTAGTGAGTGTGGCATCACCCACCAGACGATTGGCTCTTCTCTGGATGGAATCTAAGGGCATCAGCGTATTTTTGGGTGCTGAACCTCATATGTGAGAACAGCGATCTAAAACCGGCCGTATCTGTGCTTTGTAGATCATGAGATCCTGTTGAGGTATAAAGTAGATGTCGCTAGGAGAATTTGAAACAAAAATTCCCCAAATATTGACATTTAATATTGGAAAATTTCCAGCCGAGAGGTTGGACTTGGTGTCGTTGCTGAGGATAGAACATCCCGACAACGACGACACGTGGTCGGCGATGGACATTTGCGACGGGTGGGCCAAAAAGAGAGGTTTCTTGACCGCCCATGCCGCCCGACTCGATACCTACAGGGCGGCCAACAGCCTGTTGCGGATGGCGCTGGACGGGAAGATTTGTTTGTGTCTCAGGCCGCCGTCCTATGCCGAGAAAAAAGGTAAGAATGAGAATAATAATAATTATAATAATTGTCTTTTCTATTTTCGAGAATTACATTACCTTACATAATTACAATGATTGAAATAACAAATTGAATATTGTGAAAATGAAGGGCGAAGCTCAGCTCATTCTACCCATTCAGCGAGAACTAAATGAGTTGTTCTTCCACTTGACCTAAAAATTGTCTCTGAAGGTCTATTCAGGAATACAAACAAAATAACTGATCAGAAAATATAACAAAAATAGTTATTTATTATACAAGGGAAAAAAGTAGTAGATTTTAGCTCCAGGTTGTGTTGTCTCCAGACGCGTAGCGGAGGGAGACAAAAAACCGTGAGCTAAAATCTAATATTTTTTCCGTGTATAATACACTATTTTTTTCTGTGACAGAAGAAAGGACGAATCGATATTGAGAAGATATTACATTATTTTGAAATCTGAAAATTATCGACGTGAAATTTCAAGTTTTTAACAGTAGGGACACCTGCGTTGTAGGCATCTTTATCATTCTTTTGAAGTAATCAAATATCTGATGTCACTTCTGTCAGTTCAATTCTGTGATTCGATTTCAAAAAATTGCGAATTTAGTGGTTGTTTAGGACCGCGAAGTCGAATGGAAGATAAAAGGACTTGCAGTTCTTTCTCGGAGACGGTATTATTGATTCATTTTTCGGAACTATAGCACAACAAAAGCCATCAACAGTGTATATATATGTGATATGTATCCGGGAAAAAAGTACTCACTTTTTTTCCACGGGAAAGAAGTAATTTATGAAAAGTGACATTTTATAACCTGTCAACAGAGATGAAATGCCAAACTTTTTTCCCCTCACAGAAAAAAGGAATATATGTGTATCTATCTATGTAAGTTATGCATTAATTCATGCATAAGGTACCTACTATGATGAAATTGAAAAAGAAAATTGGGAATCAGAATCATTTTCTCATTAATTATTTTCAACTAAGTATTTCTGCAGTTTTCTCTCTACTACCAAGTAACGTGAAAACTTTTGTGTTCTGAAAAAAGATGTTGTGAGAGTGCCCTTGAATCTGATATTTAAGGTGTAAAGGAAATTTTCCATGCAAATAAGATGGCATTTTTCTCGTTAGAATTTTATGGAATAAACAAGCATCGTGAAGAAGTTTTCTAGAATCAACACTGATGGCTTGTCAACTACGAAAAAAATTGTATACAGGCTGATTCACGGTGGATGGCACATTAGACGTTTCTGGTGAACCAGACAACGGATCATTTTGAAAATTCAATGGAGGGCATATTCGGACATTCTCTAGCCAACTAAAATATTTTCGACAATGCGGTGTTGCCGCTTCTATTAGAAAGCAGTAGCAACTTTGATTTTTCAAACGGAACACTCTGTATTTTATTGCATTTTTAGATTCTCCCTGAAGAGCAGATTTCATCGATGTATCTCACTTGGGGTCTAGCGGAAATGATTACAGAGCTATAGGGTGTGAAAAATCGACATTCTTCAACTTTAGGAATTTTTTTTGTCGAAACTTGATTATTGGTCGAAACGGCTCACATGTCCCTATCTCAACTTTTGATTAACTATCTACTAACATTTAATTGAAACAAATACAGGGTGGTGCAGAATTCAGAATCTTGATCACCCGGTATATGTCCCAATTAAATATCAGTAGATAGTTAATCAAAAGTTGAGATAGGGACATGTAAGCCGTTTTGACCAATGATGAATAGTTTCGACACAAAAAAATCCTAAAGTTGACAAATGTCGATTTTTCACACCCTATATCTCTGTAATCATCTCCGCTAGACCCCAAGTGTGATACATCGATGAAATCAGCTCTTCAGGGAGAATCTAAAAATGCAATAAAATACAGAATGTTCCATTTGAAAAATCAAAGTTGCTACTGCTTTCTAATAGAAGCGGCAACACCGCATTGTCGAAAATATTTTAGTTGGCTAGAGAATGTCCGAATATGCCCTCCATTGAATTTTCAAAATGATCCGTTGTCTGGTTCACCAGAAACGTCTAATGTGCCATCCACCGTGAATCAGCCTGTATTTAGTCAGTTCTGCAAGATGTTCATTGTTCAATGGTCAATATCAATGTCAAAGTCAAAAATCCCACAATGTTGTCGAATAGTCCAGAAGGCAGAGGCCTGTTTTATCGAAGATTTCCTGAAGAAATGATGTGGCATACCTATGTATACAAACGGAAAAACTCAAGTTTTTGTTAGACTTGGGCAGACTTCCGTTTTTTACTCTCAATGTGGAAGAGGCCAAATTACATGAAAAGAAGAAGTATACTTATCAGTTCTAGCAACTTTGAACTCATGTCTCAGTAGCGTGATCTGGTGGACAATGAAAATATGTTGTGAACAACAATGGTAGATATAAACATTTTGTGCACATGACTCTGTTATCTAATTATTCCGTTTCTCTTAATTTTCTCGATTATCTCTCCTCCCGTCTATTATTAAAATGTTTTTCAATATAATTGTAGTGAGGAGTAATCAAAAGATTGATCACTATGTTTTAAATTTCACCATTATAAACCAAAAAGAGGAATCCAATCGAAAAATTGTTGAAGAGAGAGAATGTAGGTATATCTTGTTCTATTTATTGAGATTTCATAAAACAAGAATAAGAATAAAAGAGATTTTTGTATTTTCTATGAAGCAGCTAACCTTTTTTTTTGTAAAGTTACAATATTCAGATGTTTTCAAATTTTAGATCCATCATAGCTATAATGTTTTTTCAAACATTCGGGTCTATGTTTTACATTGTTCATTCTGTTTATTTTATCTAAGAAAGATTGCATTCTTTATTGCTGGATTCTTCTTAATGAAGATTATTGAAGCCTTAAAGAATAATTGCCTAAAATTCAATAAATTATTTTAATAGAAATGATGTGGCTGATGGATAATCGGATGAATCGCGAAATATTCTTTTCGAAATATATTTTAAAATACATAACAAAGGTCTTTGATGAGTTCCATGCATACCACCCCATCCAATTACTCCACACGACTATATATAGTTTGGAAGAGAGTATGCTAAAACATGATTATTAAATGTCTATAGACAATATTACGCCAAAGTCTGAACTTTGTCATAAATAAGTTGTCCAATTTCATCTCGCAATATTTTCGGAATTTTTCCCCAAACTCTGGATTGGATGGATTGAAGGAAATATCGAAATGAGAAATATTATTCTTCTCAGAATATTGGGCATCACATCCTGAAGTGAAAACTGTTAAATGGATCCAAGCTAGATCGACAGAAGAAGAACCAGCTGAACCGCATTTCTCCCACCAAAGTGATTTGTCAGATGAAGAATCCATACCGGATAGGGAAATTGAAGACGGAAATGATTCGGGCAGTGAAGACAGTGAAGAAAGTGAAGGTAGTAGTGAAGAAGAGCAAACTCCTTTTTCAGCAAACAAATTTGCATTACTTGGTCCTGATGATTGAATTTTTTTATACTAAGTACTCCGAATTTGAAGCTTCCAGGTGAAAATTTACTAGAATTAATAAAAATGTTGATTGATTTCAGTAGGGATTTTTGAGTAGCCTTCCTGTGTTACATACTACAAGTGTTCTGAAATCAAAGCTGTGCTACAGCCAACAAATTGACAAAATGGTGGATATTTATAGAATGTTCCTACCAATCCGAAAATTGAATTTCCGGGTTTTTCTTTGTCAAAATCACTGCTCTATCAACTGGACTATCAGGCCGTCTGACGTAGGTGAATGATACATCAATTCTCCAGGAATTTGTGCTGTAAAGCAATATCTCAACTGATTCTACTACATTGATGATACACTTATGATACTTAGATATTTTAATATGAATAATGAGAAGAGGTACTCTATCCTTGTTTATAATTCTATCGCTATTCTCAACTTCTGGTCTCTAATACGTTTATTCTTCATCGTTAACATCAATTATTCCTTGTTGATTTTACGAAATCAGTTTTACGTATTGCGGAAAAACATATGTAGGTCAAACTCGAGAACCCAATAGAACTAGGTTCAAAGAACATCTGGCGCATATTTAAATTATGGAGATAACAATTATGGCATAACCATACAATAGACATCAAAAAAGAAATAAGGTACAAAAGTATTCAGGGCGAGTATCACCTCACGCTGTCAAAGTAACAACTGCACTGATTATCCAGGTTTCTGTACTACAATAGAACTAGGTTCAAAGAACATCTGGCGCATATTTAAATTATGGAGATAACAATTATGGCATAACCATACAATAGACATCAAAAAAGAAATAAGGTACAAAAGTATTCAGGACGAGTATCACCTCACGCTGTCAAAGTAACAACTGCACTGATTATCCAGGTTTCTGTACTGCAAACCTATTTTCTTATCCATCGCATGATAAATGCAGTTTTACCATAGTTATAATTTTGTTTCCTCCCGCGGGAGTAAATTGACAGATTTGTATCCCTAAATGAGGGAGCAAAACGCTAACTTTCGATGCAGTGAGTAGATAAACCATTGAATTTGTATTTATTGAATAAATAATTCTACAACGGTCATTTCTTGAATCTGAATTTCTTCTTCTTCGACGATGCCACAGGCTTGAAGTCGTCCACATTCTGATTGGCAGCCACGAGCTCTGCGCTCTGTTTCTTTATGTCGTCGCGAGTCAGGACGTGCGCATCCGCGAATACGGTCTCTATGAGCGATTCCTCGCTTATTTTCGTGTCCACCTGCACGAAATTGCTTCTCTCTCGCATCATCGATTCGAACATCCTGTAGCCCTCTTCCATGGTGGAGCCCGACAGGATTTCCTTGGCCCCGGTGGCCAGTTTGGAGAATTTCGCGATCAGTTCCGGTATGATCTTAGTCGCTGAAAACATTCAAAAGTGATGAGGGTTTGCAATCCCGATACACCGATACCGGAAATCCTGGGGTCCTAGTGATATTTTTATACCGAAATACCCGGAACACATCCGATTAGATCCCTGGACTTTCGGGATTAGTTTTGACTACAGTGGCTTTTTGACTAGGGTCCCTTGATGCAAACTGACGTATTTGTCATCTAACAGGGTACGGACAGATCATAGCTCCTTTCTCTTTTAATCTTCTAGTGACTTTGGTTTCGTGTATTGGCGTCCCTGGCATGACATTGCTGTCACGTCACATTCATAGGCGTTAAAAGAGATCTTACAAAATTTTAATTTCATACTTGATCTTAATACGACATTATTCAATTCTGTTTTGGAAGGATGGTAACATGTGCTGCGTTAGGCTGTATCAATCAGTTGGATAGCAAATTTGAATTTTTCAGCTTTCCATCAACTGCAAATGAACTTAGAACATAGAAAGTGAAGTGGTCGAATGGGGAAAATTGGTAAAATCAGTAAAATATTCGAGGTAACACTAATACGAAATAACATATTATACTTTCTCATCGTGCCTATAATTATCCACTTCACACGAGTTTTTTAATACAGTTTAGTAGAAACAGTTTTGATCAAAACGGAGGATTTGAAGAAGAGGCATATGCCCTAGCAATTAAAAAATTATACCTAGATTCAGGAAATATTGAGTATTCGTGAAAAACTGCAAAAATGATTACCAACATGAATTTATACAGCACACATGACATATGAGCACATTAGTTTGAAAACCTACATAACATTCTTCACCATTTCTCAACCATAAGGCTTAGTCTGAAATCAATATTAATGTATTGATAGGTACTGCCTAAGAACAGTCCCATTTGGTAAAACGAATCAAACTTTCAGAAAAATTTGCTCACTGCCTCACAAAGATTATGCTGGAGTTGAAAAATCAAAAACTTGAAAATTATCATCATCATTTGGATATAATATGTAGAGTTGAATCAGGAATTCCATATGGAAATTACGTATGATACGCCAATGTCCTCAATATAACCTAAAAAACAACAAATGTCAGAAATCTCAGGAACTATATAACTGTTTCACAAACACTTTAGAGTGAGAGGAGAAGAGGATCTGTCCGTACCCTGTTAAGATGACAAATACGTCAATTTACATCAAGGGACCCTAGTTTTGACCAATAAAAGACTTCGCTCTCGTCAATTGAATCAGATTATTATTATTCGAAGTTCCAGAAAAAAGCTATTATGGAGATACTCGTGAGTCATATAAAACGTTTCTTAATAGTTTCAGAGGCAATAATTGATGAACAAGATAATGAGGAAGATAGAATTTCTTTTGTGAGTCAAGCATCACCGACTCAACCTCTACACAATAAGATATCACCAAATTTAACTAAGGAAATTACCCTTTTCAAAAATGGTGACAACAAAGGTACATATCTTCTAACAACTATACCACCCACTATAGTGTAGAATATGAAAGAGTATTTTCGCAGTGGTACCATTTGCACAAAAATCAGCACTCAACTCGCAGATAATACCCTTTACGAGTGGATTTTTGTACGCTCCTGGTTTTGAAAAGTATCAAATTACATGTCAAAATTAGAAAAAGATTTGTTTACTATTTTGGTCGTCACAATTCCCAATGTTAGGTTCCGTTTTGTCGCTGAAATAGTTGGGGCAAACTTTTTTTTTATACATGAGTTAAACAGTTTCATTAATAGCGATGTATTGAGCATATTTATTTATTTATTTATTTATTTATTGAACAAATAACTTCCAGACAGAATAGGCTCTGGTATAAGGATAAGGAAGTACATAATTATATACCTATAGGTAAACATAGCATCATTCAAAATATATCAACAACTGAAAATTGGCAAACAAAGAATAATATTTGTTAAAAAAAAAAAAAGAAAAAAAAAGAAAAATGGCATGATTAATTTTATCCAGTCCGCTCAGAAATAATCAGTTTTTTTACTTCATTTTTGAATATACCTATATTTCTGCAATTTTTTATATTATCAGGTATTTTATTGAATTCAGTTAAGGCTGAATGAGTGAATCTTTTTTGTCCGATTAGGGAGCTAGCGGCGTCAAGATGGAACAAGTTATATTGTCTAGTTTCATGATTATGAATTTCAGAATTCCGTATCAAAATAATATTCGACTTCAATTTTTTATTTATGATATTATATGATATTTTTAGAGTTTCAATTCTATATATTTCATCTAAAGAATACGTATTTGTTATTTCATACAATTGATTGGTTGGTGTATCAAATGGGAGACGATACAATACTTTTAACGATTTTCTATATAATGTTGATATTTTATTGAAATTATTTTTTGAACAAGATCCCCAAACATTTATTAAATAGTTGATACGACTCAGTATATGAGAGTAGAGAATCATGTTTGCAATTTTAATATCAAGTTTGGGACATCTTCTCAATGCACCAATAATTGGAGATATTTTTTTTGTCAGAACATCAATATGTTTGTCCCACTTCAACCTGTCATCAAACCAAATACCAAGATATTTTATCTGGTCAGTTTGTTTCAAGAGTTCATTTTTTATTTTAAGGTTGAGGTGAATTTTTTGTTTATTTTTTTGGTGAAAAATCATATATTTTGTTTTGTTAGTATTTATCGATAAAAGGTTAGATTGGAGCCATTTTTCAAATATTTTCAAGTCTTCATTTATCATATTTTCTAAATCTGAAGGATTCTTGCCTTCATATAAAAGTACTGTATCATCTGCATACATGGTATATTCACACGCTAGACCAATTTCACTGATATTTTGAACATAAAGTAAATATAGTATAGGTCCTAAAACAGAGCCTTGTGGGACACCCTTATTGATTAATAGTTTATTTGACACAGAGTTGTTTGATTTTGTATTGATTGTCCTATTTTCAAGATATGAATTCAAAATATTTCTCACAGTGCCTCTGAGTCCCATTGTTTCTAAGTTTTCTAAAAGTGTTTTATGATCAACTGTGTCAAAAGCCTTTTTGAGATCAATGAAAACAGCTACCACATAATTTCCTGAATCAAGTCCTCTCTGGATTGAATCTATCACTTGTAGTACTGCTGCTTGTGTTCCACTGGTTTCTTGAAAACCAAATTGATTAGAATCAAAGCTATATTTTTTGTTGATGAATTCTACAATTCGTTTCTTGAGAATTTTTTCAAAAATTTTAGAAAATATGCTTATTAAAGCTATTGGTCTATAGTTAGTTGGATCCTGAGCATTTCCATTTTTGTAAATAGCTCTTACTGATGCATGTTTTAATTCGTGTGGGAAACTTTCTTTCATGAAAGATTCATTGATCAATTTTGATATTGGTGTAGCTAAAATGTGTCTCAATTCAAATATGTCTTTAGTAATCAAACCTTCTGGATCAGGACATGTCTTTTTTAAATCATGAATAATAGAAATGATTTCGCTTTCATCAGTGGGAAACAGAAGCATTGTGGAATCATTATATTGTGGACAGACATTTTGACGTGGAAGATTATTATAATACGATATTATTTCCTTTGCTATATTCTCACCAATACTCGAAAAATGATAATTCATAATTTTGGCTATTTCTAGATCATCATTGACAATGTTACCATTAATTTTTATCGATTCAATATCACTATATCTGTTTGATTTTGTGGAACCTCTCAAACAATAGTTTATCGTATCCCAAAGTTTTCTTTGATTACCTTCAGAATTCTCAAATTTTCTATTTATATGTTGAGCTTTCGCCCTTTTTATCAGAGCATTAACTTTATTCCTCTGTATTTTGTATTCATTGAAAAGCTCTTGATTACCAACATTTTGTTTATGTCTATCAAATTTGGAATTTCTAATTTTTATTTCTTGAATAATTGTGTCATTGATCCAATCGTTATCTTCACGTGATCTCAAATATATCTTTGATGAACATTGTCTTTTAGATTCCACAATAATGTCTATTATGTCCTGAAATACTTCACATTGTGTTTGTATTAATTTTTCAGAAAATACTTGTTTGAATTTAGTATAATCAATTTTCACTATTTCACGTTTTTTAAATTGTTTTAATTGAGTGTTGGATTTTTTTATGGTAGTATACATAATTCTGTGATCAGAAATTGAAGTATTTTCCATAGATATTTTGAAATTGAAATTGTGGCAATTTGGAAATATTGTTTTTGGTAATGTGTCTAGGTTTCGTCAATTAGATTTTGTTACCCTTTTATGTACCTTCTATTTCATCGTCTTCTGGTTTGCTAACTTCCGAAGTTTCTTCAATTTTCTTGAACATTATTGTCATGGACTTTTTGTAATTATTCAGTAGCCTGGATATGTATTGCAAATGCCTCAGGGACAGTCTAACTCTAGCCAAAAGATCATATCTATTGGTGATAAGTTCCTGAGTTTCCTTACTTCTGTTTTCTTCATCGCGGATATTGCTGAGGAACTCTTGTTTTTTATTGTTGTATCTGAAAATTCATGGGTCAGGTGGAATATGTTTCTGTGGTAGATCGCTCGATATAGGTGGTTCTCACTGTGAAGTTGTTTCGATCATGGAATTTTCTAATTGAGATTTCATAACTTCCGCGTGGTTGTCCTTTTTCAATAAATCGTCTCTGTTTTTTTCACACTTTTCAACAAGACTTGCTAGTCGGTCTCTCTGTCTCAATTGTTCTTTTATACTGTAATTTGAAAAAGCATACACTATGGTATTACGAAATACACAGTGTCCAAGATAAGCAGGGCCAGTATTATAGGGACTCATATTATTATAAAAGCGGTCTTCTTTTTTTGGATGTTAAATTGTTGTTTTGTTTTTAGTTTTATTCTCAATCCCACAATGTACAGGGTGGGCAAAATTGGGCGTTTTCACCGTCTATCTCAATAACTAAAAGAGTTATCGAAATACCGATATACATGTTCCCGGTTCGATTTTGGAGAAACCTCGAATGGTACAATCAAAATTTCGATATCTTCATTCGTTTTAGAGATACGGGGGGAAATTGAAAATTTGCCGATTTCGATTTTATTTTCTGACAACTTTACGGTGAGAGGTATCAAAAAAATTTCAAACGTATATTTATACAGAATGATGCGTGGAATCCATTGGCATCATCAGAAATTTTATACAAGGTGACGTTGAGAAAATACGGCAGCCAATTATATTTTTTCTAATGGAACACCCCGTATATTTTGGCACAGTTGAATAGTCCCAGGCGTTCTCATTACAAATATATATATAACCCTACCTTTTCCTTTCACAATTTCAGATATATTCGCAAAAATATATTCAGTGTGTCACATTTCTTATGGTTACACCCCCGTATCTTCTGTAAGAATAATTGATGGAAACATTAACAATCATAATATTTTGTAGCAGAATGCCTGAATATGATACTTTACCCATTATTTCTAGTATGCCTTAATATTTTTGCATTCAAAGAGATAATAAATATGATATATATTTGAAATTGAAACGGGAACTTTCCAGCTCTGCCAAAATATACGGGGTGTTCCATAAAAAAAATTGTTCTGTATCTGGAATTTGGACATCTTCTATAAGGCTATATTTTTCAACGCAACCTACTGATTTCCGAATTGAGTAAATTATTGGTCTTATTTATGTATCTCAAATGTCTTGATAACAATGATATCAAATCGAATAATTTCCCATTTTATTTCTCACCAAATATCCATTTATCTAGGAATTACATTCCCTATGATATTTATTTTCCACATTTGGTGTATATATACAGAGTGTCATTTTCAACCTCGATTCTGCCTGTTGATAGCATTATCCAGAAATATCCATGATTCCATAGCTGCTGGCGAGCAGTGTTATCATTGGAGATGATCCCACTTGGTCCATGACTCCATGAGTGTATCATTTGTATCTTTCTGACAGTTGCGAATTTTTGAATCCTACCTCAATTATTTTTACAGAAGATACGGGGGTGTAACCATAAGAAATGTGACACACTGAATATATTTTTGCGAATATATCTGAAATTGTGAAAGGAAAAGGTAGGGTTATATATATATTTGTAATGAGAACGCCTGGGACTATCCAACTGTGCCAAAATATACGGGGTGTTCCATTAGAAAAAGCATAATTGGCTGCCGTATCTTTTCAACGTCACCCTGTATAAAATTTATGATGATGTCAATGGATTCCACGCATCATGCTGTATGAATATACGTTCAAAATTTCCTGATACCTCTCACCGTAAAGTAGTCAGAAAATAAAATCGAAATCGGCAAATTTTCAATTTCCCCCTGTATCTCTAAAACGAATGAAGATATCGAAATTTTGATTGTGCCATTCGAGGTTTCTCCAAAATCGAACCCGGAACATGTATATCGGTTTTTCGATAACTCCTCTAGTTATTGAGATAGACGGTGAAAACGCCCAATTTTGCCCACCCTGTACCTACTCACCCCCTTGATAAACTTTCTGATTGGTAGTGATGAAAACAGAGGTTCGTAAGTTGCCTTTATATTATAATGTGCTCAAATATTCTCGATCAGTTTATATACATTTTACATTTGGTTACTCATTATATCCATATCCCGTCAAAGAATAATTATATTTCATCTTTATGTAGGTATATCAAATTGTATATTAGGTCTCTGTGTGTGAAAAAGAGACATTTTATATATTAAAATTAATAAATCAAGATATAAATGAGAACAAATATAGAAAATGAGGAAACAGAACAGATGTTGATTGAAAAAGACCATGGATCGAAATGTAAACCTTTCTTTGAAATTCATAATATTTAGATATTTTGATTTCTGTGGGATTTCAATATGAATTTTAGATCCAATTATACCAGAATGTTGTTCCATGATTTTGCTTATTGTATCATAACTATAATAATTGATTTGTTTGAATGGTTTGGTTCATAATAATAATAAATTGTATTCAAAATGTTTACATCGAGTACCATCAGGTGTACCACAGGGATCTCACATGGGACCTCTGTTATTTAATCTTTTTGTTAATGATACTGAGAGTTTGCAGCTCGACGTAAATAACTTTTCCAGATGGTGCCATATCAATTTATTGAAACCGAATTTGAATAAATGTCAAAAGATAACATAATATTTACATATTCACAGAGTTAATGACACTAATCTATCAGTAACCAATACAATCAAAGACTTAGGTGTAATATTCGACTCGAAAATGACCTTCAAACATCACATAATAGGCTTTCCCCTTTGTTCTGCTAAAGAGCCATCTGTTAATGCTGTTAAAATTATTTATTGTGCACAGGTGAGCTCTATTCTTGAATATAATTCTTTGATCTGGTCACCATTTTACAAAGTTGATTCTGATCTTATAGAGGGTTGTCAAAATAAATTTTCAAGGAGTTGTGCATATCATATGGGATTCAATAGGGATGATTATACCTATCCACAAATATTAGATATTTTAAACATGGATACGTTGATACATAGAAGAATGAAAATTGACCTATTATTCCTCCATAAAATTATCAATGGCTACATTGATTCTCCTGAAATTGTTGCTCTGACTACGCTTTCCGCAAATACTAGAAGAAACAGAAATAGTGACATTTTTTAAGATACCATTCTGTAGGACAAATTATGGCCAAAATGAATCCATGAATAGAATTATGAAAACAGCAAATACACACAATTACCAAATTGAACTGTTCAATTCATCTTTATGTTCTTCCAGGAAAGCGATAAAAAACTGTTAATCACTTATTTTATAATACTTATCTTTTTATTCGTTTTAGCCTTCTAAATTTTTTGTTGTGTTTGTCTTCTTCATAGATTTAATATGTACGTACTCTGTATTTTTATACTTTCTTTTTGTAAATAGCATAATTGGCTTGGCCATAATGAATATATAAAATAAATAAAATAATATAAATTAAAAGTATACATAATGGTATTGAATAAACAAAGAAAACATTATGAAGGTAAATGAAATATAAATTAGGGTTTATTAAATCAATTGCTTAATTCATTATCATTTTTCAAAATATTAGTGTTGGATAGATTTTTTGAGCAAAATACAGGCACTGATTAAAACTTTGGATTATTTTCAACTTCCTTAAGAAGGAGAAGAAGTGAAATAATTCTCTCAGTTTTATCACATAACTAATAACCTAATTATCGAATTCTTTGTAGCGGGTATCGTTTCATTTGCAAAATTATACAGAATTCCGTTTCGGAATTCGGTGATGCTGCTAATAATCTTGTACCAGTTATACATACCAAGGATAGATGGATTCGATTGTCTGTGTGAATATTGAGTTTTTGAGCATGCTAAGAGTACGTTCGATGGCTTCTATATCTCGATTAAGTTCTGCATAACTCTCTGATTCTTGTATTGTTACTCTTCCCATGTTGATGTCACTCTAAACAAAAAAAAAATAGGAATTGTTCAAAATTTCAATCACTATTCTATGCAGCGTACATCACGTCTCAGTAAATTCTTCAGATTATCCGAAAAATTCTCCACATTCTGTTGGACCTGAGCCAAATCTTTTTTTCTGCTGATCATGTCTCGTTTCACGATCTTATCTAAGAACTGGAACTCTTGTCTTCTGTCGTCCAAATATTCTGTGCCCAATTGGCCCATTTTGGTAGCATTTATCATACATTTTCCTTGACTCAGACCATCGTTTTTGATGGATATCAAAATGGCATCAAAATACAAGGCATCCTTAAAATCAAAATATTTGTTTCCAATTGAAGAATTGGGAGACAAATTTACTTGATTCCTACCTTTTTCATGATTGCTATCATTTCTTTGTAAGCATTCCGTATGTAGATGGCCGCTTCTTTTTTCAAAATGGCATCCTGAACTTTTCCGGTGATCAGATGCGCTTGTCTCTCACATGGTAACATGGTTTGCCATGACATATCTTCATACTGGATTCTATCTTCAAATGCCGAACATTTCAGCTGAAATCATAATTTTCAAATTAATCATTCCCATATTCCTATGAAACATAAGATAGATATCATTGTTTTTCTCGCCTTTAATTCAATCAAGCTCTCTGATTTCAACTTCATCCTGTATTTCAGAATATCCCTGGTTTTTCTTTGGGTAAAATTTGCTTGGTGCACCATGTCTACAACTTTCTAATATGATTTTAGACAATTTCCTAGATCATTATCTATATTATGCACCTGAGGTTGGGCATTTTGGAAGGCAAGCTGCATTTGTCTGTGTTCTGCCAATGTATTCCGTAGTTTCTGTTTATCGCCACGTATAGCATTATCAAGGGTTTTTCTATTATTTTCGATTTCTTTTTGCAAATTCTTAACTTCTTTTACTTGCTTTTTTCGGGCTATTATATTATCCATTTCTATTATTTTTTTGTCTCTCGCTAGAACAATGTCGCTCGTTTAAGTTCACCGGAAATTATTCGTTCTCAATCATATATACTTACTGTATAAATTTATCAACCCTTTATACTGTGTTATTTTGTCTTTGGTGGTCCATTTTGTCGAGGTCATTCCATGCAGCTTCACTTTTTGTGCAGAGAGCATATTTGAGCTGTTCATGTTGATGATCTAAAATGCTAAAACAGTCAGGAGATTAAAAAAAACAATCCCAACTTATTAGTTGGAAAACAGTCAGGTGTGGAAGAAATGTGAAAGTGTCACGATTTGAAATTGATTGAAAAATAACCAACAGTATTCGGAAATAAATAGCCATGGTAATGCCACAATGCCTTCAATCATTTCAATGATGTTTTCATATTTGGCTCCTTGCAGGCTCCTTGTCAAATTTGATCGAAGATGTGAGCAGTAATCCCTTCTAATCTTTGAAAATATATAGTTTTTTATGTGAGGATCCGAATAAAATGTTTGGGGATTCAGTCAATGTTGTCGATAGTTATGTAAATAAATTCCATTTGTATCATATTCATTCTATAAATCAAGAAATACGAGGATATTCAAAGTGGTCCCGGGGGTCAAGATATTCCCATGATATTCCCGCCCACTGAGTTCCCGCCGCCTCACTAGCACGAAACCTTTCAGGCCATAACCACTATAGATCAAATGACTCGACAGTGAAGAAGAAGAAGAGCATAGTTCAGCGCATTGACCACTTCTAGTCGATAAAAACAGAAGAATAAGAAGGAGACCTCTGACAAGTTCTCCGTTCTCTGGTTTTGTGAAATGTAGGTTAAGGTTGAATGAATGAAAGATGAAAGTTGTAAAATGTAATATACGTTGATTGCTGCACTTGGATTGCTGTTTTGCACCATTTGCACCCCAATTTTATAATTTCACAATGGAAGATTCAATGGAAGATTTCATTAGAATAAGCAGAAATATCAAATCTGAAGAGCCCCAAAAAATAAAGTAAGTACCTGTAATGGGAATTAGGTGAATGGTATGTTCACCATTCTTTTACTAGATTTCTTGAAATAATGTTTTCACATCATTTTGATGATGATATTCATTGAAGAGAAATTTATCAAGTTCATTTTTTAGGGAAGAGATTCAGAACACTGTGCAAAGGAAAAAAGAATGTGATATGAGGGCTATTAAAATAGTTGAGTTTTCAATTGAAGGAAAGCTGAGACCAGAAATATTCACTAGATGTGTAAGTTTATTATTTGTTGTATCTTGATGATTGAAAAGTTTGATTTTAACCAATGATTATAAGGAAGATGGGCTACAGTTATGTAGTTATACCTATTACAACAATAGTTGGTTGTGAATCTATTTTGAATCAACATCTTTTGCCATTCTAGAATATTGATATTGATACTGATAATTTCACTATTATCTACAACTGATGACTGTAAACAAATATGTAAATTAGTACAAAAAGAAAGCTGGTCCCTGAGTAGGTACCTACATCTTCAAAAACAATTGGAAATTTTCTGATTGTCATTATTAAAGATAAGCAATCTTTCAGCTTCCATACATAAACCAGTCACATTATCAAGATATTGTAGAAGAACGTGCAATCACTAAACTGTGTGGTTACTCTATATGTGGAAAAAAAATTCCTGATATGCCCAAGAAACAATATTACATATCAACAAAAAGTAATAAGGTGTTTGATATAACTGAAAGAAAGGTAAGTTAACCTACACAACAATCCCACTAGATTTAACATTGTAAATTGATTATGGTTTATGTTTCAGAACTTTTGTAGCAATTACTGTTACAAAGCTAGCCTGCACATTAAAAAACAAATTGATGACAGTCCTCTGTGGATGCGTAAACTTGATGACATTCCAGAATATCAATTGATGGACAGTAATGAAGGGTATGTAAGATCACTAAGATGAGTCAAAAATACAATTTTATTGATTCCAGAAAATTCAACATTATGATCAGATTATCAAGCAGTTTAGCAAATATTGATTTAGTTTTTCAAAATTTCAACAGAAGTTTTCAATCATGCATTATCACTTGGCTTCAGCATCAATTAGAAACACCTAGAAATCATAAAAACTAAACTATTCCAACAAGAAAAATTGGTTGAAATCAGTACTTTTTTTAAGCTTTTTGCTTTATTTTTGAGTGCCTTATAGATGATAATATGGTAACATATGTATATTTTTAGTGGATTACCTGGGGAATGTGTTGACCAAGGTATTGCCAGACCAGTAGTGGAACAACCTTTCACTTCAGTATCAGCATTTGCTGAAGTTTCATTGAATGATGTGGCTGACAAAGAAGTTGGAGGTGAAAAACACTCAAAGCAAAACAAAAATAGGGGTGAGCAAAAAATCTTTATATTTGTATATCAAATTTTGTGATGAATCATGAATAATTCACCTTTTGAAATATATTGTTGAAAGACATCCATGATTTTAGGATCCCAGAAAAAAATTTCAAAATTGGCTAAAACCATGCAGACTATAAGTGAACAAGTAGATGAAGAATCAAATTCTTTGAAAGAGAATATAGAAAATACTGAACCTCTTCCTGCTAACCCAGAGGTATCAAGCTCAAGAACTTTGCCCATAATTGTAGAAAATGTTGAAATGAGCCTGGAAGAAACTAAGACCAGTACTGAATCTCCTGTCAAACCACATTCCAAAAAGCCCAAGAAGAAGATTTCAAAATCCACCTCCAGAGTGGATGCAGAAGCTCTGATGAAAAAAGTCATCAAAGATTGGCTGTCTTTAGAAACATACATTTTTTTGTTTGGGGAATCAAAAATCAAACAGATCCTGAATGAGAAGAAATTAAGTGATGTTTTTGATGAACTCAATATTGGGGAATTACAGAGAGACCAACAAACCAGATACATGGATATTTGTAAAAGACTGCACCTGCAAGAGATGGCAGATGAAAAATTTGACCAAGCTATCATAGGGAACTCAAATTTAAAGCCACCTCCAGACTTCAAGAGATTGAAGGAAGACAGCAAAGACTTGAATATAAAAGTGAAATGCTTTTACAGTGGTATGCTGCATGAAAAAGAAGATAAGAATTTCCCAACAAAAATTAATAAGGTGGATCCCAATGATAAAGGTGGGGAGGAACTTGCTGCAGTATTGCCTTTAGTGGATGTCAATTCTCAGAAAGCAATGAGAAGAAAGATATTCTTGAATGCAATTAACAAATCGTAAGTTGATAGTAGAAAAATCTTGAATATAACTATTTTGTATCAGCTTTTTTGAAGTTTTTTCGAAGAATTTCAATGGCCCATACTTTTGAAATGAAATGTATTCAAATCTTCTGGTATATTTGTATACTTCAGAAATATTAGAATACCTTTACATACTTCGGACTACCTATGTATTTGTTATTTAAATACCTATGAATATTTATATATTAATCAGTTTTTCAAAATTGCTGTAGGCTGTAGGGGAATGAAACAATAGGCCTTTTCATTTAGATGACAAATGACTATCTCTGTTTACATCTCCCATGCTCGCATCCAACGACAGTGGCGGCTATTTTAACCACAGTACCACACTCCTCAGTAACAAATTTTATTTTTTTTTTGGAATTAAATTATTAATACTATTGATACTGATTAATACACACCAGGAATATAAAAACAAAAATACTATGTTGTTATTGTTGAGGAATGCCCATGGTGATTGACACTGTATACAATTGACAGAACGTCAATATAATACCCGCCATATTAGATATGGCCAATCAGCATTTTGTGTTGGAACTATAGCCAATGAGGCTTCACCTTCGCATTACCCAATAAACTTTTGGATCTAAAAACGAGCCCATGCATCTTAAAAATATATCTAGATGAAAAGGCCTATTGAATAATATATGATGAATTGGTGAATAATATTTGGTGTTCTCGAATTAGACTGAATTTCATTCATGTTTTCAGGATGCACCAGTTACTTCAGGCATTGCGGATCCGATCTTTCACATGCATTCTCTCGGATTTGCAGCATTTGGTAAAAACTTTCAGGCTGAAAGCAGACAATATTGTGTTCAAGCCAGCATTGTGGAACCACATAGCTGTAGTATTGCTTTATATGTAAGGATTGTGTTTGTATTATTTGATTCCAGAATTTATGTTTATATTTTTTTCAGATTGTCTATAAAAGATCCGAATATCAAGAACATTCTAGATGAGGCGTCATCTCAAGAGTATATAAAACTCCAGTTGTCTACATTACCCAGCAAAGAGACTTTTGTTAGTGATATAATTATGGATGTTCAGAACATTGAAATGTTCGTGGAACAGTTCATTTCCTTTAATTGATGTGATCCTGCTTAATAAACTATTTATTATGTATGTATATAACTAGATGAAACTCAGGTGTTTTCATTCTTCATTGTTTCAATTTTATTTCATCAGTTCAAGAGTATTATTGATTCATGGGGATCACAATGATGGGAGTAAGATATGGTGCGCGAATTCGGCCATTATTAAATATTGAAAATTTCAGAAAAATCACTCGACCGCCTACGTCACAACATCTTAGTCACAACGAGCGAGACGTTGATTCTACATTTTCCCGCTAGATAGTGATGCTGCTATTGCTGCTGTGACGAGTGGAAATAAAATGGCATTTTAGGTACGCGGAACATATGTAACAGTGTGATTATTCAACTCTGAATTAGAAAAATCTGCGACAATTTCAAAAACGACAGATGTCATAATTGTGCAATGTCGCCATCTATTAGAAGATCGACGGAACCATTGCTCTCGCTGAGTCGCTGCTCTCGAGGTGTCGAGTAATATTTCTGAAACAAAAGCGCATCAGTAATTACACCATATCCACCTTTCATCCATCATTGGGATCACCATTGGCCCATAATCCATAATATTGATTCCCAGGAAAGCTACAATATAATTTTCTTCAGTAACCGTTTATTTTATCCACAATAATCAAAGATCTATGGTGTAATAATTGAAATTGACAAAGCAAGGCGTCAGAAAACCAAGAACTATCAAAAGAGAAGAACAACCATAACCTCAAAGACTTCCCTGCTTCCCGATCTGCAAACTTGTTTTGCAATAATATAATTGTGGAAAATAAATCAAAATGGGCACGTAAATAGGTGCAAGTTGGTAGGCAAAGATCTATTCATATATTTTATTCAGGATAGATCCCAGATTCCGTACTTGTATGATGTTACTGAAAATTGTTTGTGATTAGAGCCACCAGCAGCTCCTCTGCTATAATTATTAAAACAGCTATGCTGAAGAGCTGTTTACTGTGTGTTCAAAAACTAGACATTGATGTTCAATGATTCATATTTACACTACACTGCAACTCAGCTACAACCATGCCCAATACAGAGGAGGTTCTGGATGTGGACATGGCCCAGTTGGAAATAAAGGATGGTGCAAAGAAGAGAACTTCCAGTTCAATTTCGGAGAACGACGAAAGACCGGATGAAAATGCCTCAAAAAGTGAAATTCCACTTGAAGGTACTGTTAGGCGTTCAGGCAGAAAACGAATTCGACCTGTGGAGTTTGATAAAAGAAGAGTACTTTCCAAGCCCAAGAAACTATTGGATGACCTCAATTCCAAGCAAATAGTGAACTATTATCTTGACAAAACAGTGAAAAGAACACCTCCTACTCTGGAAACCATTTTTGAGGAACCTAACCCTAAAACTGTCATGAGCACAAGAAAGTTCAGAAGACTGATCAGCTTTCCAAGTGATGTTGCTTCTAAGAATAGATTAAAAGTTAAGAAACGTGTGATGAAAGCTAAACTAGTTTCTTCTTCACCCAGGAAGAAAATGTCAATGGAAACTCTTCTCCAGAAGCTATCTAGCATTGATGAGAAATGAAAAGACTGAATGCTGAAATTATGTTTGAGAATATCATTTTGAGAATGTATATTTTGATTTTTTTATGACTGCTGGAGGGTAATCCTCTTGGTGATGTGTGATAATTATTAATTATTAAATAGAATACAAGAATATTAGTAATTCAACTCAAGAACCCTGAAAACAGCTCTATCAAAAAAAAATTTCTTTCCATAATGTATATTTTTAATAAATAAATAATATATATTTCACTATTTCACAATCTACCTTTAAAACTGTATACAGATATAAGTACATTGCATTATGATTTTAATTTACAAAAAAAAATACTGGAATGAGAAAACATCACTAGGGTTGCCATAGGCAAGAAGGCAAAACTGTCCTATATTCTGTTTTGAAATTATTTTATATTTTTCAATATTATAAACATAGTGGTAATATCTGTCTTGAAATGAGTCCAGTCAGGATAAAAACCTAAAAAATTTCTGCACCCTGGAAGAGGCAACCCTAAAGTGCCCTAAACAATGAGAGCATTTTTTTAAATATAAAATATCACCAATAAACTAAATAAATACTAGACTAGAGAGACTGAAGCATTATCTATAAACCAGAATAAATGAATAAATAAATAGAATATTAATAAAAATTAAAATGCCATGATTCATTATTTGTACAAGTTTTTGTTCAAAAAAAGAATATGCAGATCTACAGGGAGCTGTGAATATTTCCTGAACCCTCAAAATACTTGCTGGATAGATTCATTTAAAATACCTCTATATTATTTGCTTTGATTTAAATACAGTTATGTAAGTTAGATACAACCCATCATTGGTCATAAATGATCCAACACTCCTCACACAAATATTGGATGAAATATTTTCAATTTTCATGAAATCTTACTTGAGACAGTAATGTATTACCTTTTATACTCTAGTCTGAAAAGTAAGAGAATCATTTCTCTTTTTCCATTACAGTTTTTGTTGGAACAAAAATGCGTTTTTATTATTACTTTGTATTTAGAAATTCATTATGTATACATTCAATTTCAACAGCTATATTCCCCTTGGAAAAATGACAAAATTAAAGTAGAATGAGATCCTATGAAAGGAATATTTGAACTCTTGAACTTATTTCTATGAACATACCATCAATTATTTATTACATATCACTCATTCCCAACAAATAGGTTTTTTTCCTCAAGATTAATGCATGTGTTCCGGAAATATTCACAAAAATGAACTATTCCTAAAATACTAAAACAGTATACCTACCTTGTTGGTGGAAAAATTCGATGTGAAGATTCAAGTCCTCTTAAAAGGCTGATTCATACAATATTTATTGATCTTATTATAATTACATTTCCATTACATTATAATCTAGGAATGTAGAAAACTCATATTTTATAGGTTCATGCAACACATGTCAGAATCTTCATTTTAGGTACTTCATTCCACTAAGAAAAGGACCAACTTTTAACAATACGTTATAATTACATTATAGTTCTAGTGAAAACAACGGATTCGCAAGGAATTGCCATTTTTTATACAAAACTTTTATAGTAGGAGAGCCGCGGCTGCAAGTTTAGTTCATCATTGATGAGGAAATATTATTCGCCATCGAAGTTCTTGATAGCTGTGGAAGCGGCCTTTTGACTTTGTTTTTATTGGTTCATGAAGATTGTTTTGCTTTTCTACATTTTGCTGCATTCACGTTTTAACTGATAAATTTTGAATTTGGTCGGTATTGAAAACGCCATTCATATATCACGTTGCAATTTACTTGATTTCTTCAGTTACATTCTCAAATTTCGAATTCAATTTCTCTTTCTCTATGATAATTTTCTTTTGTCTGTTTTGAAAATGGGCCTAAAAATATGTTTCATTTCGATCTGCAGTTATAAGAAGTGAATCTTAATGTACTTACCTCTCACACCTTGCTTGTCTTCAAATTAATTTCCCAGCCAGGCCGTTTCGATATTCTGTTAGGAAAAGTAAAGACACGAAATCGCCATTTCCTTCACAATTCATCACATAGCAGGACATTTTCATTCATGCTTTGAAAGGACTGGGGCTATATTCCGAATTCAACTGGTCAGTACTGTCGGTAAATCCACTGACTCTGCTGAAAATCTGTGTTCCGAAATATAAAATCAAAAATACAGTGCTGTAATTCGGAACACGTTTTCATGGTTTTCATCAGTAGTCAGCAGCAGTTGATCAGCTGGTGAAATTTGTCAGTCTGTAGTTTCTCGTTTATCTGAACTAATAAGCCTCCTGATTGACATACATTTTGGAAATTTGATATTTAACATGGAAGAGCAATCGGTTCTTGTAGCCTTCATAGTTTCTTCGATTGTTGACGATGACGATTCAAGATCGAGTGATGAAGAATACTTGGACCCAATGCCTTCTTCTCTCCTTACCTCTCCTACTTCATATTCCATATTTTCTCAGTGTTTATTATTTCAATAACGCGTATTTTTTGATATTGAGAATAATATAATTATCAAGGGAAATGAATGTTACATTCTTTCCCCCTCTAAAATAATGACAGTTTGCCACACTACCTTTCGATACTGAGCAATTTCAGCAGAATGTTGAGTCGGAATATCTGTTCACAAGCATCTGTCACATTCAGTGATTTTTTGATTTCGGAATGAAAAATCAGCAGATTCAGTACTGTCAGTTGAATTCGGAATATAGCCTATGATGCCGTTGTCACAATGCAAGGTGTGCAACTCAATAAATCTTAACATTCAAAAACACTAACAATTATCATTTCTATGTCCGAACTCTTAATCTAACTAATACCATCCAGTGACTCTAGATAAGGCAATCCTAATGTAGTGAACATGTAATCACAATGAATGTTGCATGAATCCGCCTTTATTCCAAGCCCGATACTCTACGGTGCCGGATGGGCAAGACAGGGCAGGTCAGTGTGGGCGGCCCTATCCTCACTCCCGAGGCCGCCTGGGGGCCTAGGTGGCGTGCAGGGCGTCGTAGGCCTTCACCTTGTCGGGCAGAGCGGCCACCTCGATGGGCACGCGTCCCAACAGCTCGCGCAACGAGTTGACGATCGATATTTTCCGGTAGAATTTCGAGCTAACAATCAAATATAAAAAAAAGGTTATTTATTTTCATATAGTAAGTTTTCAAAAATATAAACATGTGTCACACGATTTTCTTATAAAAATGTGCGTGTGCTACGTTAATATATAATTATCAACTAATTTTTACTATTATCAACTGAATTTACAATAATAATAATTAACGGTTCACAATAGAGGTTAAGAAATTGTACAGCAATACATACAGTACTATCATAAAAGACCTAATCAGTAGGAAATTTTATTATCTAGCGACCAGAATTTTGTTGTTGTTGTACTACTAAGGACGATTTTTAAATTTGTGGTAAAGACACAATCCTTGTGGAAAATTATCGTCCTGTAACACAGTCCCTTGTGGACTCTCGAAAGTTTTCGAATATGCCTTTTTGAAACGTCTTAATTCGTGTCTTGAGTAAAAGGCAGCATGGATTTCGTTCTGAAAAATCTACGAACACAGCTATGTTCTCATTACTGAATAAAACCATGGAATACGTTGAATCAGGTGAATATCCAGCGGTAATTCTTTGTGATCTTAATCGAGCTTTCGACTGTTTCAACCATCAAAAACTGAGTTCGAAATTAGAAATGTATGGAATAAGAGGCGTATGTCTTAGTTGGTTCTCGTCATTTCTTCACAATCGAAAGCAATTTGTTTCCTTACAAGTAAAGTACATTGCTGACTGGCGAGGGGCAAGGGGTTGGGTGTTTTGGCTGGTTCAAGATTCAGAATTCTGATCACCCTGTATCTGTTCCGATTGAATATCAGTAAATAGTAAATGAAAAGTTGAGATAGGGACATGTGAGCCGTTTTGGCCGATAATGAATAGTTTCGGCACAAACAAATCCTGAAGTTGAAAAATCTCGATTTTGAATGAAATTGATGAAATGAGCTCTCCAGGGAGAATCTAAAAATGCAATGAAATACAGGGTATTCTATATTTGATATAACAAAGTTGTTGCTACTTTTTGATAGAAACGACAACACTGCATTGCTGAAATTTTTTCAAATGAAGAGAGCGCGTATTCTAAAATATAATCATGCTTTTTTATATGTATTTCTCCTGACTGATTCTCGACATAGAGATAGTGTAAGCTTGTCATGACACACCCTATATGTTTCGTACCGTTTTTTGTATTTTTTCCGATCAAGAAATGCTTTCTTCTGATTTTCGTGCATTCTGTTCGAAACTGTATTTTTTAAGAATCTACCATCTTTAGTATAATTCCATTATCATCATTAGTCATAGATAAATCATTCGTTCGGAAATTAATCGTTTATCAGCATGATTCAACTTATTAGTCATTCATTCGGGACCAGGTGGTATATCAAGACAGTCCTATATTAGATGTCATCACGTACGGGCGGATTTTGTGATCGACATCGAAAAATACGCGAATGGAATTATTTATCGTTCCAAACTGAGTGTTCCCTAAAAACTGAGTGATCGTATTGATTCGTATATAGTGTTTTTGTATTCCTCATTCGATTCATAATAAGTGATAAGTGATAATAATAATATCGGGATCGTGTGTTGTTCAAGTGTTTCGTGTTGTTTCATCAAAGCGTCACTTTTTTCACGCTGGTGAGTGCAAAGAAATTCTCTCAAATTTTCCTCATATTTCTCTGTATTTATTTAACTCCATTACCCCATACAGGGTATTTCACGACGAGCTTACACTATCTTTAAATCGATAATCAGTTGGGAGAAATCCATGAAAATGTGCATACTTATATTTTGGTATACGCTCTTTTTATTTAAGATATGTTCGACAATGCAGTGTTGCCACTTCTACTGGCAAGTAGTAGCAACATTGATATTTCGAACGGAACACCCTGTATTTTATCGCATTTCAAGATTCTCCCTGAAGCGCTGATTTCATCGATATATCATACTTGGGGTCTATCGAGAAT